CATTAGAAATTACTTGTTGACTTTTAAAGTATCGCGTCAGTTAATCTGCGATTACCGGTTTCGTCCTTTTTGATAAAAAAGGAAGGAGAGGAATAGGTCAGTTGTTGGCAGGATCCGATTGCCTACCTCCTTTGTATTTTGGAGTGACAATTTCATTTTTCCACTCAGTTGGGAGTGTATGTGAGTTAAGCAGACCTTGGAAAAAGGTTGCAAGTGGTGCTGCTATGGTGGGAGAAAGGGTTTTCAGTACTTTTGTGCAGCTCATATCGATTCCAGGGCTACTGTATTCCCGGAGAGACTGTAATTTGCTTGCAACTGCTGCTGGAGTAAAGGTGACGCCGGATATGTCAAGGACGTTCGTTGGGAGTTGATAGGGCGAAGGTTCAATGGTATTTGTAACTACCGAGCCAGACTAGTAGTAGAGCGTTCGAGGCATCCACAGCAGTAGTCGTTAGGCCACTGGCCGTCTTGTGTGGTGGTATTCCGGGATTAACCTTTATTTGCCGTTCACAAATCTGTATAGTAGTTGGGTGTTACTCGTAAATTTCAGCACCATGTTCTCCTGCCATTCGTACTTACCAAATATAATGAGCGATTTGTAGTAGTTTCTGATGACTTTGCAATTCCGTCATGTGATTTCACATGGGCTTAGCGAACCTTGTCTCTACCTTTCATCTCTTCTGTTGATCCATTTACGTGTTCTGCGCCGGATCCACGTATTGGATCGACGCGATGCTCGTAATGATACAACCTTCGATGCTGATTGTATGACCCAGTTAATTTTGTCTTTCAATTCATTCCACGCGTCATTTGCTGAACTGTGCTTCTGTAGGTCCCAGTCAACGGTTGCTGCTAAGTTTTGCAGCTTAAAATAGTTCGTAATCATTCGTTGAGTCGCTCTTTCTTTAGCAACAATAGCGGCATAACACATAACCAAATTAGAGGAAAGTGTTATATCAACTAACTGGTGTATTATATTCTCAAATTGTGTCCCCAGATGAATTTGCCGGCATTTCGGCTGGGAGAGGCAGAATTTTGGCCCACATGCCAATGCTTCTAAATGCAGCTGGTTTACTTGCTGGCTAGACAGATTATGCACATATATATCGGGATTGGCGAAGAACTTTAGTTCATTTAAGTAAGGTTCCAAGCTTCTGAGCAACTTAGTGTATCTCCTCTGTTTTTTTGCATATTTCTTGCAAATAGCATTTGAAAGATTGGTAGTGATCATTGCTGAGATCGTCGATCACCGATGTGTAGAGCGTACGTAATCGTTCCAGTTCAGGGAGTAGAGGTTGGATAGGTTCCAGCAGGTTATGAGCATATCTTTTGAGAGACTTCGCATTTGGACGAATGTGGATTCATCGGAGCGAGTTCCAATAAGTCATTTTGATACTGGTTACCTTCTATGCAATCTTGGATGCAATGGATCTCAGCCTTCACATCAGCAAGCCGGGCGTTAAACCCCACGCATCTGATTTCGCTTTACTTGTGACGGTTTTGGCTAGTCTCCGCGATAAAGACATTGTTCGCTCAATCCTTAAAGTGTTTCTTAATGGCCACTCTTGTGTCAGACGGTGAACTGACTACTCATGAACGGGCAGTTTCTGGCAACAAGCACTTCACTACGATCTCAACAACACGTGGGGATCTCCGTTGTGCGGTACTGCTGCCATTTTTCGGTGTTCTGGTAGAAAATACATTAACCGTTGTGTTTTCGCGTCATACGTTCCCTTGAACTTAACATTTGTGAGTAAATGTACAGTTGACCGTGATGACGAACTCAGTTTGAACCACAGATATTGCTGATTTCCACTTCAGCTGCGGCGATAATAACAGCAACAACAATATATTTTGACGAAGATACCGAAGCGTTTGCTCCACGGCCAACTGTGGGCAGGGCAGCGGAACATGGGAAAACTGAAGCTAGGTTACTGGCACATAATCAAGTTGAGTTTATTCCGAACTGATGAATTAAGTGTGGGGTAGCAATTGCAGTGAACCCTAGCTGATGATGTGGATGTTCATGAGAAGGTACAGTTGCATGCTTCCTTCGAGTCTATACTGGTTATGTGGTGTGTTGATGGAACTACAGTAAAACCTGCGTAGAATAAGCACTCAGGGGACCGAACCACTGTAAGCAACGTATAGAGGTCCGGTGCAAAACTTAGCGTACCTACCATTCCCGTTTTGAGTACAATACACTGGAGAGCTCAATATCATGCACACCTTGTTTTAAAAGCTCAGATTGGCTATTACAGAATGCAAAACTATTAAATCCTATAACACTATAAGAAGTCAAAAAGCAGTGTTTTCCACAAAGTTAAATAATCTAAAAACAAAGGTTTTGTCCGCTTCCAGCTCTTATCATAACCGTAACTGAAGCACGCACTGCCAAGGCAGGCCGCTATATCAAGTCTGCTTGGGCGTTTTCCACAGGAAATACTTTCAGTTGCAATATGTCAGACATTACCTCAGTTTGAGTTTCTGTGCTTTCTAAGTCGGCTTCACTTAGTTCTTCTTCGTAAGATGTTTCTTGATTCTTTCCACGTGGATGCCGTTCAGTCAGTATCCCATTGGGTCTGGTTCTGTGCAGATTACCAATCCATCGTCAGTTTCAACAAACTCTAGCTACTTTATTCCCTCGAATTTTGCCATGGGCGATGGAGTGACTAGTAAGTGACAGCATCCAGCTCAAAAGTTTATATGAATCCAGCGTTTTTGAAACACCTCCGTATTTTTCCCGGTTGAACTTCGTACAAAGTGGAACTTATCCAAAGCACAACATCCAAGGCATTTACTGACGAAGCAAGTGAATTTCATGCCGCATGTTGATCATTGGTATGCACATTCGCTACGAACCCTCAGTTAGACAGCCTCTCACCGACGAGAATTATCTCGATTATTTATTTATTTATTGCACAAAATTGGCTAGGTAATTCGTTTTGAACATTTTAATGAATTCTTGGGGACACCCTTACGAGATAAACATCCATGTGCTAAACACTCAGGGGCGAGAAATCCTAAACACGCACATACACAGACTGTGAACACGCTGTATCGTCAAACGTTTGCGGAGCCATCAAGTGCAGTGGTTGTGGGTCAGGTGTATTTCATACATTGCAAAATCCCACTCCATATACATTATTTTATGAACAAAGTCATTTGGCGACCATTGCAAAGTAAACCTTCATACAGTTAAGGTTAAATAGGTAATTTCATATAGTACAAGTGATCAGCATACAACTTACAGAAGTACTCAATACACAGAGTTATGGTTACATAGGGTTTAGATGATGAGCCTTCAAGCTATGAAAAACGGTGAACTTAGAGTAGTTATCGGGATATGGAGGCAGACAAGTTTGGAGTGTTACTGAATAAGTGGTACATTACATTATACACTACATTACATTAGACTCTACTGTACGGTTGGAAACCTGGCTCCTTAGATCAGCCGACATTTGGGAGCTATTTAGGTTCGGCCACCAGTGCTTTCGCAGTTTGGCTCACATGTGGCGGGAACAATGCGTGAGCAACGAGCGTGTTCGACGCCTTGTTTACGGCACAGGAAAAGGAAATGAAGTGCTCAGCATCGTTATTTCATGCACTAGGCTCCGATGGCTTGGCCACGTGTTGTGTGTGCCAGTCCACCTACTTCTGCGAAGTGCGTGATTTGCGCAGCGGGGGTGTGGATGGAAATAGAAAGGTGACCAAGCATGACTTGGTCGAGAGGAATGAAGGTCCTCACTTCGAAGTTGTCCTCAGTTGGAGCGTCTCGGCTCCCTGGTTGGGGTCCGAAAGATGATGAACACGTTTGGCTGGATATACTTGTTGATATGTCTAATATCCGGGAATCAGATAAAAAACATAAAAAAGGGAAAATATATAATGATGATTGAAAGCTGGGCTGAAGGGAATCGCCTACCCGTGCGGTCGATCAGGCAATCGATCGAGCGGACGAATGCGTTTTCCAACACCCGGCGAATTGGACTTTTGCCTCAGAGTTGAGAGGACAGTGTTTTCGACGGCATTTTTTGGCTACGTTGGCAGAGTTTTGTTAACACGTTTTTCGTGGTCAAGGCTGTTGGAATTTTGATTTTTCTTCGGCTGGGCTAGAATTGCTGCGGAGAAATTTCTGGGTGGTTAATTCGGAATAGCGAAAAAGGGAAGGTCTAACATCTAAGAGCCGACCTCAGTGGCGTTCGTGCTGTGAGTTTTTTTGTCCCACCCATCCCTCTTTGTCTCCCCGTCCAACCACGATCTCACTTCATAGCCCAATATAATTTAGTACATTAAATTTTTTGCTGCATATTAGCCGGCTGTTAGCTTGCCGGAACGATGCCCATCCGTTCCCGGTAGCTCAGCTGGCTTGCACCAGTTGCATTTTTTCTCCTTTTTCTGGTATGTATTGTGGCACAGTAGCTGAGATTTTTCCCACCTCCAGCTAACAAGTATAATGACGATGGTGTCCCCCACTCCCATGATCCTTCAGTGAGCGCATGTGTCCTGTGACTGTTCGCGGTCGTTGTGACAGATAAATTTAGAAAGTGAGGCCGCCAACCTAGAGGACCTAAACAAAAATCCGGTCTTATGCTCTTAAACCACATCCACACCAGCGATGGATGATTGCAAGGACCCAGTCTGCGAGTGTACGGCTAAACAGTAAAATAATAAGGACGGAAGTAACTTGCACTTTCCAATTGACATTTCAGCCACGATGGGTTCTATGTGATATCGTTTCAAGTCGGAAAGCTTCAGCTTGTGGTCGGTGCACAATGCGGTACCAATACGAGGGCCTGAATCGATCACAACGAACTCAATTATGTCAAACTCTTCAAACCACTTTTAGGAAAGGCTAAACTTGGTGACATGTGAAGCCGTCTTATGTGGCCAGTTCAGCCTGACTGCACCCCAAGCTTCACAACAGACAGAGGCATGCTTCCAGCTACCCGCGAGTGTTCCTGGTCGATCCACTTTGTTCGACATTTGTCTTAAGAGCAATGAGCCGCACAGCATCCATGACACCGAATAGATCTGTACGAGTTGTGAGTAGGTCTGTGCTTATACCACATGTTGTCCGACGATGTTCACTTGTCCCACTGCTACTGTTTTGCTTGGTCGGTCTGGTTTGGCAAGTTCATCACCGGTACGAGAAACAAATCCTCCTAGTGGATATCCAATCTCAGCCAACGTTCATGCCCATCGACAAGACCAACGAAACATTTGCAGTGTCCGCTTTTCTCGGAGTGGACAAGTTGTGGGTGAGAATATTTGTGTTCAAGAAAACTACGGCAAATCCCCTGGTCTATTGTTATTATGCGGATGCTACTCTGGGTTTACGGTTTGGTACACCCGTCAGTAACACCATGGAGACTTTCGCCGTTCGCGGACAAAAGTTTGGTTTCAAATCACTAGTGGAAAATACGGGTCTGTACCGAGGCTATGTGATATTTTGCAAACTAAATGAGACTTACCTCAGGGCAGTGCTGGAGGGACGATTGGCGGTTGCACTTCATTTGGGAATAACGTCTTCAAAACCCCCTGTCTTTCTACCAATACAAGTTGCATTCGTTCAAGACTACCAGAAGCAGGATTTTATCAACACTGTGGGCTTGTGTACGATGCCACTGGTAAAGACTGATGAACTGATTCAATCCGCACTAGTTGAGTACATTGAGCTACAACGCTTGCTTGGAGTAAAGCTGATTATGTTTTACGTAACAGATCCAAAGGAGGAGGTTCTCGGTCAGGTGCTTAAGAGTTATCAGGATCGCCCCTCACTTGGGATTGATAAAAATGATTTCAAAGTCCAGGTTATTTCGTGGCAGCTTCCTGTTGGTAATCTTGGCAAGTCTACTTGGTATCATGATCCAATCTTAAGTTATAATGATTGCATATATCGCATTGCTCCTCACACGGAATATATTTTTCATGCCGGTTTCGATGAAATCTTTGTACCAACCACATTTAACAACAAATCAACACTAGGCAAGTGGAGTAGCGTGATCGCCGTGGCTCAAGAAGGGATATATGCTACCAAGTCTGTGTCATGTTTCCCAACTCGTTATTTTCTTCCACCGCAAATCGGTTCTGATCATTCTAATGGAGTATCGATGTACCAGCGCGTCAAAGCATTACGTCATGTGGTCACCGACAGAAAGAAGTGTCTTGTTCAGGCTGGTTTGGCAAGGGAGGTGTACTTATACTGGCCAGTGAAACCGCGGTCGTTCAACTTGCTCAAGTTGTACGGAGTGGTGTTTAACTACGGCGTCTGCATGGAAACCGAGATAGCAGAATGCAAAAGAAAGTCGAACACTGTACAAATCAAAGACCTATTGCCTTATCTGGCGCAAATCCAATATACGGTTTCGCAGAGGCTGCGATTCATAGAATCAGGATCAGTAGTTTAAAACTGATAGATTTATATGACCTGTATTCCCTCGTAGACCTTCAGGCATCAGTGAGTATTTCTGCCATTAATGGACTAACCCATCTGTTTTGTACACACTGTTTGGTTTAGTGAAATTAATGAATAAAAGCTGAAAACCCACATTCTCTGAACTTTCCAGTTTAGAATGAAACTAAGACGGGGAGAAACGTGTGCGTAATCCACTGGTCATTTTCAGTTAAAATAACCGTAAACTCTTCACTAGACTTACTTTAATAAAGTTTTTTGCGTGTGACATGCAGAAGCTAACATCATGGCCAGTATATCTTTAGAATAAATAGTAAGGCAATGGTCATCATTTTGGTTGTCCTCCAGGCCCCTTTGACAGCGTAAATTCCTCGGTCTACTAGCTACCATCATAATACCACAAGTCAGGATTAGTTCTATGTTATCACTCTTCAGATAGCACTAGACTAACCAAAATTAAAACAAACGAAATTGTGTGACCATAATGTAGCGACAGTGGTCGGCTCACGCTAACAGACTTGATTATAGTTAAGTACGATTCTCGGTACTTGAAGAGATAGTTAAGAAGTTACGGGACGATGGAGTATTGTTGGAGTGTACAATGGTCCGTGTATAGGCTACAGATACGACACCGAAGGACGAGTAAGTAGCTAGGGAAGAATGTGAGGAACCACGCGCCTGGGCTGTATGTGGAATCCAACCATGGCGCCGTGTGTGTATTGCTATATGTTTGGTCAGTCAAACCAATTTAACATAATTTCAGTATGTTGCAAATAACTTCTAAGCGTGCAATATGATGATACATTTATTTAGTATTTTGCACAACTTACCCAGACGGATCGGGACATCTCCAAACCGCTACAAGTGTTCAACCGTCGGGACTCCGTTGACTGGACTGTCAAGGCAGGGCGTGCGCCAGCTATAATCTAATCCATCATTGTCGTCTACCTTGCCGTGGATGCGATTTGTAGCTAATCGTCTGCTCGGCTTTGCGTGATGTTCTACTAGTTCTAAATTCTTACTTCATGGGATTCAAAGGCGAATACACAGAGTTTCATACATTCGGTTGCATAAACAGAGAACCAGATTTGCAGGAAGGTCCTTAATGTACATTGTAAGTACAAACTATTAGTGGGATCAATCGCATCAATGACGACGGTGTTGACCAGCATCCGTTAATTTGCTGGTTTAAACAACCCTTACAGCTGAAAATCGCTTAAGAGTCAGCAAATGCAACATCGCAGAAAACGTAGCTGCGTAGGTTTTAGTCTGCAGAAAGACCTGGTTTTACACTAGGCCCCTACTCTCTTAGTATCCTTCTTCCCGTTGGTCAGCGTGGTTGTCCGGTAACGAAGCGTCAGTTTACATGGTTGATGTACTGCTGTTTATGGTGGTAATGATGAACTGGCGTTTTAAGTTGACATGTAATATGCCGCGCCCAGGTCATTGATGTCCAACCTGATTTAACAGGTTTTGAAGAACTCAGACCACATTTGCTGCCCACTGCTTAAACTAGACCACAACCTAAGAGGGCATCCTCTGAAACTGGCGATGCGGCCGCAATATCGTAGAAATTCCTTCTCCTTCAGAGTGTCAGCCGTGGAACACTCTCACAAACTATGTCACCTCTGCCCCTAATCTACCAATATTAGAAAACGACGACGTAGCGTTGTTCCATTTGCATTCCCTTTTATAACTTGTGTTAGTCAGGCGGCCACATAACGCAACCAAAACCGTGTTTCCGAAATGCCAACCAATGGATTTATAGTCTTATCACGCGAACATCTCAGCTCTGCTACAGATGTCTATGGTGAGTCCACCAAAACATTTTTCATTTCATCAGCAATTTCTCAATACTTTCTATCTCAAGGGACTTGTTAAGCATTGCTTTTCACACGTAATATACCATCGTTCTAGCGTTCCAATGAAGCCGCCAATAATGAACAATGGGACAGCTAAGTAGGTGTTTCTAGCAGTAGTTCACACATTAGCGCTAGTCTCACATGTATCTGGAAAGGTGTCAGACAATCATTTAGTCCTGTTGGGCCTGGTTAGTAATGCGATTCCCTGGAATCCAAACTTCTCAGTTAGAGGTGTATGCCCAAAGACATCGGCTTAAACCACCGAGTCATGTGTGACGGTGGCAAACTGTGTTGGCTTACAAGCTGATATAGCTTGGCTCAACTTTCACTACCTTGCAAGCTACGAAATGTACAGGCGACGGCTATGGCCCTTAGAGCCACGGCTTGCAGTATTGTATATAGGAATTCTACTGACGGATGTTTTGATAGCTTGTGAATAGATTTTCAATGTAGCCTATCGGGCGGTCTTTGAAGCATCAAGTCACACCAAGAATCGAGCCCATGGCAGTTCATCGCCAGTGGATGATGCCATTACGCCATGCGTGACGGTGACAGATCGTATTGACTTACCAAATAACCGCGAGATAGTACAAGGTCTGCGCGTCGCACACTTGTCTTAGCAAAAACGAGACGGCTGTCCAGTGGTCTTTCGGATGCGTGGAAAACGGTTTGATTTTGGGCAACTGCATAGAACCCTAAATAAATTATACCGAAAAAAACCCTTAAACGTCTATGGAACAATAGCTTATCATGGGCAAAAATGACCAAATTTTGATAAGTCTAACAGGATGGACGTAACAAATCTTACAACGTAGTATCGACTAAATAAGACAAGTATTGGACTCACTAGGAAGGTCAACCAGGTAAGCCCGTGGTCTGTATTATGTTGACCTTGTAGGATGTGGTGACTACGTTAGTGTATCGTCAAGATATTTTGAGTATCGGTAATGTGGCGAGAACGTTCCATTCTTGACATACACGAAGACAGATATAATTCCCGTGTCAGGTCAACCTGCTATACATTGTGACCAGATTTAGCTGAAGTACTTTCAGTTCGATAATGTGGTTTAGTTTTGTTAAGTTGCACCTAACGCGAGTGAGATTCTGCAGGATCTAATAGTCGCTTAACCAATCGCCACACAGGCGTCGACACTGTCCATCGTAGACTGCCGTGGTTTCGAATCCAAATTGGTTGTGAGATGAAGCAATGTACATTTCTTAGTCGTTCTTTGTTGTGGAATTTCAAACGCAACAGCATCATGCATTGCCAGAGTTACCAATTGCGGCTAATGTAGCCGGTCCACAGGCATCAGGTAACACATTAACAGACAAGAGGTCAATCAGTTTTGCTTCCTGTTATCTCCACTCTTTTCTTCCTCTCCGGCACCTTTTCCTTCTGGCTTCCGTGTTTCCTTAGCTGTCTACCTTACATCGGCCTCCTAGTAATAGTAGTAGTAGTATTAGTATTAGTATTAGTAGTAGTAGTAGTAATTGTTGTTGTTGTTGTTGTTCGTGGTGGTGGTGGTGTTGTAGCAGTAGTAGTAGTAATAGTATTAGTGGTAGTAGTTGTAGTAGTACACTCCAAAAGAATGGAGCAAGTTCTATTAGATAGCTGGTCAAAGTTTCGAGCCAGGTTACCAACCGAGATCCAGCTAAAGACAGCAGGCGTACGGCCACGAATCAATGGAACTTGCAAAAGCTGTTAATGCTTTATCCGCAGTTCTGCGGCGAAACCGACACAGCAGCACCTACGGCACACAACAGGACAGAGCGCAGCACGAGCGAATTTTCTGTTCAGAAACGCTCAACGATGCCATGCAACTCGACTGAAATTCATAAATCAAATAACGATTGAAGGCTGGCCACCTAACGGTCGGCCACCAACTATCCAACGGGATACCCCACCAAGTATCCAACGCTTCTTAACCCGTATAAATTCATTGTTCATTGTTCAACATAAATTTGACATCCACCAACAAACTCCAAACAACGAAAACACTATCTTGTATCTACACAAACACCCAAGGCCTTCTAAGCAAATTGGCCGAACTTGGAGAACGCCACAAGCCACAACCGCGGGAAATCTTCATGTTTACAGAGAGCTGGTTAAACTACGAGATAACCGATCCTGAGATCAATTTACCCGGTATGTCGCTGCCTTGGAAAGACAAAACTGGAACGGATCGTGATGTGACTATTATTATAATAGCACCCTTCGATATGAAGTTATCGATCATCCGGAAATCCATGCTCCTTATTCGCTTTGGTGCTGCCTACGGTTGCGCAAAAGGGACACTTCTACTAGCCGCAACTTACCGCCCACCAAACTCTACGTCGGAAATGGACTCCAAACTGAACCCCGTCTTTCGTTTTTATTGAACAAGTCCTACACCCAAATTATTATCGCTGGAGACTTTAACGTGCACGATATGGAGACACCAGCAACCGATTGTGTGGTTTAAAGCCTGCTTGCAAGAGTTAAATACTAGCCACCCTCTGTACAACTACGGAACTTCTCCCACCAGATTTTGAACGGCTAACAACCCGTCACTACTCGATCTCGTGCTCATTAATGAAGCACTCGTGGTCGACGGGATAGGTCCGAGCTCGTCACTGGGTCGCATTGTCCGCGTAACTCTATTATTTGACTATATATGCTATACGGAAAATCCTGAAACGGAGGGTGATAAAATGCATACTGTCACGCAACATAACGTCTTATCTACACTTGTTAAGGACACATCTTGGATTTTCTTAACCGAATGCTCCCTAGGCGTTGCCTGGGAAAGCTTCACAAGGACGTTTAGCACACTGATAGCTCATCTAAACAGAAGTTCTTCTAGCGTAAAAACGACTATAAGTCATTTCTGAGGAGCAGAACAAGTAAATGTATATCCCTGATGGCCAGCTCACAAGGATTGCCCGAATGCCGATACCTAGACTGTATACGTGACATATCGTAATTTCTGTGTAAAATTGGTCCGCGAGGACAAAGCCACGCGTCAGCAGAATTTAATGAATCGATTCTGCGCGAACCGCAAACTTCGGTACAGGCACGTTAAAGACCTTCGAAAGGTGAAGCGCGGGATTCCAGAACCGGTCATGACTGATGGTTGCAAGCGGTCAGCAAATG